GGAAATAGTTGTATTACAGGCTTAGATTCTTAAAATCTAGCCACTGCTGATTTTCTTATAATCTAGCCACAGCTCAGATTCCTAAAATCTAGCCAATAGTTTACTAATGTTTAGACTCCTTTAGAGTCTGCCCAATATGACAGATGTTCTAATAAACCTTGTCTTTGGCTAAAAGAAAGGTTGGGTCGAATGCTTTCGGGTAGGACCCGCGTGTTGTGATTTTGGGGTCCCACCACCCCTGAACCCCTAAACTACATCATTTTGGTGGCCCATTCGGGGAAACTGCCTAACCCCAAGTTCTTCTCCAGCCAAGACTGTAAGGTATGTAAGCCTCCTCCCTCCCCTCCTTTCTTGCTCTGCAGTTGGGGTCACTCTCCAAGCACCAAGGCTTGGAGCAGCTTTTCTGGCAGACAGTTACGAGGCTGTCTAGCCCTAGGCCTGACGCTCTCAGGCTCTCAGTCCACTGGGTCAGTTTAAGGCCACGGACCTGGGTACAACTTCCGAAACACAGAGGACAAGGACGGATGCCCTACCTGGAAGTGTATCTGTTAATTCCCTCAGCGCTAGGGAATTGGGAAAAACTGCAGTTGCTTTTTGGTTCCCTGAGGCTTACTTACTCCCTTCCCTCTGCACCTCTGAATCCTCCTTCTTGGAGGTTACAGGGAAAGTTAGAACAGCTAAAATATCTTAGCAGATTTTGGAGGTTTTGTAACTGATCATTAGGGAGTTTTGAAACACCTTTGATTTCACCCTCCCCCACCTGGGAAAGGAAAGAGGGGGGTAGGGGCAGCAGCTACAGCATGGGCCCCACTGGCAATGGCCTTGGGCTCTGGGGCAACCTTTGCCTGGAAGTATCACCCAGGTTCAGCACATCCTGCTCAAGGTAAAGAAGCTGGCCTCCGAACTTGGGTAAGCATGCTCTTTTAAATTTGTAGTTTTACTGTTAATGATGAGATGTTGATTCTCTGCGTAAAGTAATTTGGAAGTGCATTTAACAATTTGGTATTGGGTTTGTGTCAAGTTTCAAATTGGTGAACTTTCTGTATCAGTTATGTCAAGCAACTTTTCATAATTTGGTTACCACTAAAATAATTTAGCTATTGTTGGTTATTGTTTTAATGTGTAAACTAGCCAAAAGTTTGTTTGGGTTATGTATGGCTTGCTGAGAATTTGCAAGTGTATAGAAATCTCTAATGATTGGCTTTTTACATCAGGACAAATTAAATTTGAGATATAAATCCTGGAAAAGTTTTTCCTAAGCTGTGATTAGTAAAACTTGCTGTTTGAGGTAAAAGCTCATAGGATTTTATTTTGAGTTGTCTGATGGGTCATAATCCATCGATAATCAATAATCTGAGAGAAATGCCACAAGCTACTCAGAGAAGGCGATACTGGTAGGAAGTCAGCATAGGGAAAAGCTGAGAGGACGATTTTAGCCGCAGTCTAAGATGGGATCCTCTTGGTTCAGTCTCCCCATTATGTTCCTTTGAAAGGGAATGTTACCCACCTGGCTATTCCTGAGTCTGGCTATGAGGTGGATTTGATACTGCATGGTTGGAAAACTGAATTATCTGAATCCGAACAGAGCTAAGGATGTTTTATCCTCTCAAAGTTGGGCTGTGAATCTAGTCCCTGCTTTATATCTGCACTCTGCAGTTTTTTCTTTCAGATTTATGTCTTCTAGACTATGGGCCATTCACCTACTGTTGGTAGCAAACAGCGAGTACCAGCCAGTGTCCCCACGTCATTCCCTAGATGCAGCCTGTGCTCGGTTCCAGTCAACCTCCTCTTTGGGACCCCTTTGAGGCAGGGACAGCTCTACACCCCTTGGCCAGCAGGAAGCAGTTTCAGAAGCCGAGACCTTCACCCCTTACCCCAAAAGAATTTGGGTTCCTATTTGTTTGAAGGGGGAATGATGGGGTTGGGATCTGGGTCCCAGAAAGGAAAAACCCTGGACTTTCCCACATGGACAAATCTGGTGTTCCCCTGAGGCTATAATCCCATCAACTGGCCTTTCATTGTGACCTCCCTATGGCCCCAGGCCACTTCTCCATTCTCCCTTGGCCACGTGGTCCAGGTCCCTGAAATTCCATTACCTCATAGACTACTTGGCCACTCCTAGATCCCTCCCACAGTCTTTCTGTATATAAGGTCCATCTTGTCTCCATTAAGATGCTCTGATTCTTAGAATCTAGCCAATAGCCCATAGATGCTCACATTCCTTAAGAGTCTAGCTAATATGGCGAATCTTCAATAAACCTTGTTTTTGGTTGCCAAAAAAAAAAAGAAAGAATTGTATTACAGCACTGAACAGTAATTGGCATTCTTTAAGGTGACCATTATTCATCAGGAAGTTACGTATAGTGCCCTTAGTTTAAGAATGGAAGGAATTAAATGATATAATTGAATTTTCAGCAAAAATGGCTAAAACTGAGAAATGCTTTGTTGTAAACTCAGTTACCGGGAAAACCTTTCCTCTATTTAATGAAACTGGATTACTTTGCCTCCACCCATACTGAATTGGAAATAAACAGTTTGGCAACTTAGCAGTGATTCTTAGCCCATTGTACACAGAGAAGGGCATTCCAAACAGCGAGCAATTGATTGATTTGTACCATGCCATATCGACAAATCACCTGAACAACTGGACACATGCACAGGGGGTCTGACGCCACTGAAGGCTCAGAGCACCTCACAATGACCCAGTTCCCTCACAAACCTTTCTCATCAATTAAGTAAGTTCATTTATTTTCTGCTGGCAGAGGCCAGTCAGTCAGTCTGCTTCAGTCATTCCACAGTCCAGGCTTTTTCTTTAAAACAAACAGCTCCTTTTTCCCCTCTTCATTGTTCAAGAGTTGATATTGTGCATCTCTGACTTCCAGTTGTGGGGGAGGGAAGGAAGGGAATAGGCGTTTATTAAGTAAGTGCTTACTACATGCCAGGCACTAAGTGCTTTACAAATACTGTATCTGATCCTCACAACAACCCTCTGAGATAAGTGATTAGATGAAGAAACTGAGGCATGGAAGTTAAGTGACTGCCCAGGATCACATGGCTGATGTCTGAGACTACATTTGAACTTGGGTCTTCCTGACTGCAGGACCACTACCTCACTGCCTAGAGTATAATACCCCAGGGTCCAACCGGATAAAGACTGTATATATGTATAAACTTTTTCTTGCATCATGGGTGTAGGGATCTACCTGTTACAAATGCGCTCTACCAAGGCACATGGGCACCTTTTCCGAAACTTGCAAGTTCGAGAGAGCTGCTTGGTTCACTGAGAAGCTAGTTGACCTGCTTGGGATCCCACTGTTAGTGTGAGGAAGAAGTAAGACTGGAATCCAGGTCTTCCTGACTCTTCCCTACTCACTACAAAATGCTGCCTCTCAAGTGGATATTTACATGTTACTATTTAGGTGACAGCATCATTAAATTCTCATGGCTCAAAATGCCATGTTATCGTGGATTTAGTCCTTCAGTATTGGATTCTGGGTGGGCACAGACAAATTGATTTGCATTTCTTTTTACTACAAGGCCTAATTCTTCCCATTTCTCTGTCTCTTGCAAAAAGAACAAATTTCTAAAATCAGGAGTATGCTGGTAAATATTTAACAACTGGTTCTCTGGGGGGGAAATGTAATCACGACACACCTTCAATTGTGTCCTGATTTGGAGCACTTGTCAATTTCTGAAATGTGAATGTTCACACTGAAAGTCTAACAACTGACTCACATGAGCAGGTTTGAGCTGGCTTTGTACACCCTGCCTAATTCGTGCCCCGAAGTGCCTTCAATGTTACCACTTCTTCCAAGATACAATGTAAGCTTACCTTAACCCTACCTGTAATGCTTCCTGGTCTAACGGTGGAGATACTTCTAGAAAAAGTAGATTCTATTAAGTTTCCAAAGAGTATTGTTTCTTTGACTAACCTCATCTCCGCTGCTAATACTCGCTCATTATCCCTTGCATCACACCTGTTCTCTCCCTTTCTTCTTTGCAAGGATTTATGAGGTCTTGGAAAGCAGCAATTATTAGCAGCTCCCTCCCTCTGTCCCCCCCCCTCCAAAAAAAAGGGATGAGAACCTCACAACTCAATCTTAACAGCATGTACCCGTGAAGTCTGTCAGACCTTTTGTCTGCAAAAAAAAAAAGCAACAAATACTTTATTTATTTAATACAAATTATCATATTCACCACAAGCTAAGGGAAGAACATGAAATTTTAGAGTTTATGGAAGACTGAAAGCATGGGGAAAACCCATCATCCTAATTTACAGGAAGAAATGAGCTCTGTAATAGCACAGGCTTCGGGTTAGTCACTTTATAATCTAGAAGGGGCGGCAATGAGAGGGAAAAAAGAATATGCATCCAATTTAAGACATTGTAAAGCTCAGAAGACACCTTTACTGTTCAAGTATAAACTCAGAAAGTAGTTGGCATAAATTAAAAGGCAACTGCTGAGGTACACCCTTATAAAATAAGTACTGTGAATTTACAATTCTACCTTCCAATTTTCTGGGAGAAAAACAAAACAAACTCTTGAAGATCTTCATCAGAGACCCAGAGAGGGACTTGTACTTTTGATGAAGACATAGTCAGAAATCCATGATTGAATTTACTATTCAAATAACATGTATTTATTTAAAAACAATATTAATACGTTTTTCAGAATTTCTTCCAGATCTTTTGAGACTATTAGTTCAAAAGTTTCAAATGTACATTACTTTCAAAAACAATACTTATTAAAAAAAAAAACAAAAACAAAAAACAAAACAAAAAAAACCTGATTGATGGTACCTTAAAAATACCCTAAATAGTAAATTTTCTCCAGTTCAGCATTGTAATTAATGTAAGAATTCCTCCTGCACTGGTAAAACATATTATTTCTTCCACAAAATGCGGGTACTGAAATTGGATAAAAACACTATGAATGTGAAAATACCACCAATTTTCTGTGTTAAAAAAAAAATTAGAATGTTCTTTGGAATCACTGAGATATCAAAAATTTGGATTTTTTTTTTTTACAGTCTATGCACCTTCTTTCGGGTCCTTCATGTAGCTTGTAGTAAGACATGTTTATTTTTAGTTTTAGGGATTCAAGTCTTGGCAGTTCAATGATAACAAAGTCTCTGACCAGCAGGAAGTTACACTTAACCAAGATACACTGGCAGACTACTTTTCCATAATGGTTTCGGCCAAAAATAAAGACTTTCGAGTATGAGACAAAACATCCTGTTTTAAACAACTGAATGTACTGAACATGTAGGATTCCAGTGCAAATTCAATTTCGGCACTCACACGGGCAGTGTCTCCTGGTGTCTTTCTCAGAGGGACCCAAGACTCAGCCATAGCGTTCAGCTCTCCTTGTTCGTAAAACAAATTTCCCAGTGCTGGCATCCTGGGTTAGGTTCTAAAGGATTTTGTCTTAGACAAACTACTGCTTAGCATAAAATCTGGCCATGGCTACAGTTTCAATGTGCGCACAACTGGTTAGAGATGTTTTTCCTTTTCAGACATTGGCTGGAATTGATTAAAAATAAGTCCATGTTGCTTCTCCACATGTGTCATGAAATGTGAGAAATCTGTCTGACCCTAGACACTATTTCTTGTCGACACAATGGGCAAGTCTCCAGTTGCAAGGCACAATCCATGCACAGGTCACTGAAGAAATAAAGAAATACCAGTTAAGACCATAATCATATTATTGTAATCAAAGCATTAGGTAGGGCCTGATCAGATTCTCTAATCCCACCTAGGGCTTATTCCTTATATGGATACATAACGTGTATGGCACTTTATTCATCATTTCCCTGCAAGGTGGGTGGTGAAAATTATTATTGTTCCCATATTTTACAGATGAGGAAACAATAGACATTGTTTTTCTCAGGGCATATACCTTCCTATGGCTGCTTCTTTTCCTCAGCAACATTTGTGCCTATGGCCTTTCTAAGGCTACTGCCTTTGGCCCTTTGGCCGGTTCAAGCCTGCCTTTGACAGGGCAGTATGGCATAGTAGAAAGTGCTTTGAGAAGCAGCAATTAAATCTTTCTCTTTCCCTTTCATCTTGCAAAACTGGAATTTCTGTTAATTAGGATGAGCCATCTATTTTTAAATATAATTTTAGGGATCTAGGAAGATGCCAGGGGCCTGTTTGGTACCATCATACTCACAAGTCACATCTATAAAGTGCTTCAGAGTTTATAAAAGCCCATTCTGAATGATAAGTAGTCTGAATTCTACTACTCCCATTTTACTGATGAAGAGGTTGAGGTTCAAAGAGATGACTTGCCCATCATCACACAGCTCCTAAGTGTCACTTTCCTTCCATACTGTACTGTCTCCCTATGTTATTAGTCCTTCACTTTCCTTACAGGAAGTAGGGCAAACTGGACAGTGGCTACGGGAACACCGTTCTTAAGTCATAAGAGAAATGGACTGAAACTTTTGTTTGCCAAGCTCAGACAAACAGACTTCGGACAATTAGTCATACCTGTGTCCACATGGCTTGAGTTCTGTGTCTGCTACTTCATCACAACAAAGTGAACAGCAGTTTTCTCTGATACTAACTTGCTTCAACAAAGCAAGACGCCTGTGCCTGAAAGTGAAATGAAGAGGCCACTTGAAATTAAACAAGATACACAATTTACGTGGAACAGTAGCACACTGGAAACATTCAATAAAGTCAATGAAGAGAAAATCTGATTGGCAAAATTGTGCTGAAAATAAAGCCCTGAAGAAAAAAACTGGTTAAGATGGATAAAGGTCTGTTCTGAATATAGCAGAAATATCTCTCTCCATCCTTTTTGCCAGTAACTTGAAGCTGGGAAGAAGGAAATTTAGGATAAATACAAGGCAATCTTGGTCTATACAGTGCAAACTTTTGGAATCCATTAAATCTAGATAAGGTACAGGGTGAAAATATAGCTTAAAAATTATGGATGACAGGTTTACTCACGTAGGCTCTTAAGAGAAATCAAAATTGTATATTCCTAACCATAAAGATGACATTAAATTAGAGGAACTTGGCTCACCCATAACATGGCCCTTGGTGCCCATCAGAGAGAATTCTGGGCTGGACTCTAGTACAGGTTCAGTGCCGCAATCCTGATATTCTCATATACTGGAGGACAGCCTGGACAGATCCTATGGTAACTTCTGGTTCTAACTTAATCATGCAGCCTCACAGTCACATATATTTATATAAAGCGAACTTCTTAGAAATCAGATGTCAATCACTTCCAGAGTTATGGACAAACCAGTACTAAAATGGATTAAAAACTAAAATGCTGAGGCAGCAAAGACAGGCTGATATCAAATAAAATTAAATGAAATGGGAGTGTGGAGGGAAGGAGAACAAAGACTACTTGTGGGAGGCTGAATAAAGAGAATGTAAGAAAGGGAAACAATCAGGAATGAACAATATTATGGTTTGGGAAGAACAATTTTTAAGGGAAGGAGGATGCTTCATTCCAGAGTTTCACCTAAATGAAGTCTATGTCCTATACAGCTTTGTTTTTTTACACACAGAACCTAATTTACAAAGTGTAAAAAAGTATTTCTAAGAATAAACCTAGGAGCTTTCTGTGAAAGTTTTTTTTTTTTTGATACTTTTTATTTATGGAGCACCTCAGAACTATAGTTTTCTCAATCACCAACTCTTAATTATAGGATTCATCACCTACATTTCCCAATGAATTTCTCACTTCTTTCCCTCAAAGAGGGCCATCTCTTTTAATTAATTTTTTAATTTTTAATTTTTAGGCAATTGGGGTTAAGTGACTTGCCCAGGGTCACACAGCTAGTAAGTGTCAAGTGTTTGGTCTGAGGTCGAATCTGAACTCAGGTCTGGTGCTCTATCCACTGCGCCACCTAGCTGCCCCATTTAAAAAAATTTTTATTTTTTTATTACGGCCATCCCTTTTAACAAAGAATACAAAGTGCTTTACAAACCTTAAAGTGCTGTATAACTGCTAGCTATTATTACTATTATTATTAGAAAAAAAGTTTAGCAAAGTTCAGCGTTATATACATAGGATTCCATATCCACAGTGGCCCATCTTTGCAAAGAAAGGAAGGAGGTACATTCTTATGCCTTTTCTTTGGGTCAAGCTTGGTTATTATAATGTCATAGGATTTAGTTTTTTTTTTAATAAGTTTTTATTGATAATTTCTGTTTCTTACATTACATAGTTATCTCAAGTATCCTTCCCCCAACCCAATCATCCCATATAAGCAACAGTATTTTTAAGAGAGGGGAAAAAACTGGTTAACACATTGAAAAAGTCTGAAAACTTAATGTAATATGTAACACGTGTGGACCTCCCACCTCAACAAAGGGGTGGACTGAGGTGTCCTCTCATAATCTTTTCATTTGAATTCTGCTTGATCCTTGTAATTTTGTTACATTTACTTTTGTTTTTTTTATGTAGTTCTTTCCATTTACATTGTTATAGTTATTGTGCATATTGTTTTCTTGGCTTTGCTTACATCACTTTGCATCAATTCATAAAGAACTTTCCATGCTTCTCTGTATTCATCATACCTAATTTCTTATTTTACAGTAATAATCCATTACCTTCATGTACCACAATTTGTCTAGCTATTCCCCTAAATGATGGGGATCTACTTTGTTCCCAATTCTTTGCTATAACAAAAAGTGCTGCTATAATTATTTTTGGTGTATATGGGGACTTTTTTTTCATTGGCTACCTTGGAGTATAAGCCCAATAATGGAGTCTCTGGTTCAAAGGGTACAGAGATTTTAGTCACTTTATTTGCAGAATTCCAAATGGTTGTACCCTTTCACAGCTCCATCAAGAATATATTAGTGTGCCTATCATTCCACAACCCCTCCAACATTGATTATTGCCGTTTTTTGTCATTTTGTCACTTTTTAGGGTATGAAGTGAAACCTCAGGATTATTTTGATTTACATTTCTCTTATTATTTGAGATCTGGAGCATTCTTTCATGTGGTTGTGCATAGCTTTCAGTTCTTTTGAAAACTGTTCATATCCTTTGACCACTCATTTATTGTGAAATGGTTATTAGTCTTATGTATATTTATTATTTATTTCAGATACTAAACACTTCTCAGAGAAATTTGATACAAAGATTTTTTTCTCATTTGACCACTTTCCTTCTTATCTTATGTGCATTAACTTAGTGCAGAAACTTTATAGTTTCATGTAATCAAATTGTCTATTTTATCTTTTGTAGTTGTCTCTATCCTTGGAAGAATACATTTCCTAGGGGCAGCTAGGTGGCTCAGTGTGACCCTGGCTGTGTGACCCTGGGCAAGTCACTTAACCCCAATTGCCTCGCCAAAACAAAAGAACACATTTCCTACCCATAGCTATGAGAGGTCTATGATCTGTTTCTCTTCTAATTTTTTAAAAGTATGATCTTTAATATTACGGTCACACATCCATTTAGAATATATTGTGGTACATGGTTTAAGGTACTGGTCTGAGTCTAATTTCTGCCAGACTGCTTTCCAGTTTTCCCAGCAGTTTTTAATCAGATTAGGAGTTTTTTCCTAGGTGTTTATATTTTCCACTTTATCAAACACTGGCTTCTTGGGTTCCATTGTTTTTGATTCTCCCTTGTCTAGGCTGTTCCACTGAGTTATCTCTCCGTTTTTTAACCAATGCTAGAAGATTTTGATGACTGCTGGTTTATGATATAGTTTGAGGTCTGGATATGCTACTCCCCCTTTGTTCCAACTTCTTTTCATCATTTCCCTTAATAGTCTAGATCTTTTGTTTTTCCAAATGAATTCAGTTACTATTTTATAAAATTCAATAAAGTATCTACCTGATAATTTGATTGGTATAGCATTAAAAGTCTAAATTAATTTTGGCAATATGGTCATTTTTGTTATATTCACATGGCCTAGCCATGAGTAATGAATATTCCTCAATTAAAAAAATTTTTTTTTATTTCTTTGAGGAGCACTTTGTAACTGAATCTATACAAGTGTTTTGTGTGCTTTGGGAGGTAGATCCCCAGATATTTTATGCATTTGGAAGTTACTTGGAATGGGATTTCCCTTTCTGTTATTGCTTTTTTAATATTATATAGAAATGCTGTTGATTTTTGTAGCTTGCAACTTTGCTGAAGCTACTATCTCATTCAGCATCTTTCCTGATTCTTTTTTTTCCCATGTATATCAACATATCATCTGCAAACTGAGATAGTTTTATCTCCTCTTTACCTGCCTCTATCTTTTTGATTCCTTTTTTTTTTGTCTTGTTGCTGGCATTTCCAGAACCATGTCAAACACTAGTGGGGAGAAGTTGTCCTTGCTTCACTCCCCAGCATTCAATTTCAATTGCTTTTGTTGTTTTTTCCATTAACACTTTGTAGTCATTTTATAAAATGTTTTCCTAGTTCTGCTTACCTTCCTTTGCATCAGTTCATGAAGTCTTCTCATGCTTCTCCACATATTCATCATATTCATGGTTTATTATACTGTAGTAACTTTTCCTCTACACTGACATACTATAATTTATTTAGCCATCCCCTAACAGATGGACATCTACTTTCTTCCCAGTACTTGCTATCACAAAAAAATGTTGTAGTAAAGATTTTGGTGAACATGGAACTGTTCTTTTTATTACTGACTTCCTTGGGAGGTGTGTACCTCTCAGTGGGATCTTTAAGTCAAAGGGCATTTTAGTCACCTTCTTAGCATAATTCCAAACTGTTGAGAATGTGCTTCTTAAATAAGAAATAAACACTTATCAAAAAAGTTGACATGTAGCATGGCAGAGTAGAAACAGCAAGGATTCGGAATCAAAAGACCTTGGGTGGAACCCCAGCTTCACTATTTATTGGTATATGGCCTTGTTACTTCCCCTTTCTAAGACTCATTTTCTTTGTATGTAAAATTAGGGGGTTAGACTAGAATCAACTAAGATTGATTCCAGAATAAAATCCATGTTTCCAAATTTCTCTCACAAAAAACCCAAATCATTTCTTCAGGTGTGCACGTTCAAAAAAATGCTTGAGTCATAAAAAATGATAAGAATTCAGAGAAATTTGGAAAGACAGGTATGAACTGATGAACTGTGAAGCAAACAAAACCAGGAGAATGATTTACATGATAACTACAATAATGTAAAGGAAACCAACACTGAAAGATGTCATAACTGATCAAAGCAGCGACCAATCTTGACTTCAGAAGAACAATGGTGATGCATACCTCACCTCAGCCTCTTAGCAGAGGCGGACTATGGGTGAGGAATGAGCAATATGTTTTCAAACATGGCCGACATGCTGATTTGTTTTGCTTGACTGTACTTGTTGCAAGGAAGGGTTCTACTGGGGTGGGTGTAATTTTAAAGCGTTTAGTGAGATAAAAAAGAACATCAATACAATATTTTAAACGACAGGAAAAAACCCAAAACAAAACATCTGCAGATAGAGGGAAGTGCTCACTTTTCTCCCTTCCCAAAACATCCAAACAGCAGAAGAATGCATGAAGTACTTTAGGAAGAACCAGCAATACCCAAAAGAGGCTGTAAAAATTGGGCCTGCTGTTACTTGAGATCTTCCTTCCAACAATATCAGTTTTATTTTATATATCCCAAAACTACTACGTAGTTTTAGTACTAGTAAATGCTTGCCAAAAGGTGAGACAACGTAGAGGAATTACTGATGGAACTGCTTTTACAGCCAAAACGGGAGCTCACCACACTCCCTTATTTTATATCTTTGTAGAGAACTACAGGTCTAAAGCTATATGCACACAGTGGACCTAGCAGACTGAGTTTACTAATATGTTACCAGACACCCAGCTCTGTTGTCATGACAGGCAGTGCATTAGCACTAGGAATATTCTTAATGACATAGGCCTAGGGCAGACTTTCCCTTTAAAACAGAAAGCTGCATTTACCACAGTGAAATGGCCTTAAACTAGAAGTAATTACTCAAAGCAGCTGGATTCTTTCACCAGCTTGTGGAAGCCATGTTCATTTCTCAAGGAAAAGAATTTAGCAGTTGTGAGACAATTAATGCCAATCAGTTCTTGTCAAATCAACAGCTATGAAAACTGTGCTGAGAGGGTAGTCATTGTCCCAGCAATTGCTGCCTACTGCTGGCAACTATCCTATGCCACTCAAGCTACTTAAAGGCACAAATGGCAAGCTCATCAAATTTGCAGATGCCACAAAGCTGGAAGGGAGAGCTAACACACTGGTTGACAGGGTCCAAAAAGATCTCAACAGACTACAGCAGGGGCTGAATCTAATAAAATGAAATTTCATAGAGATAAAAATAAAACCTTACACTTGGGTGAAAACAAATCAATTTCACAAGCACAAGAGGCATGGTCAGAAAAGTTTTTAGGAAAAAAAAATATGGAGGTTTTATTGGATTGCAAGTTCAATATAAGTGAACAGCATGATATGGAAATTAAAAAAAAAAAGTAATGTATTCTTGGGCTGCATTAAGAGAGAAACTGCTCTGGGTAATGATAGTTCTACTATTCTCTGTCCTTGCTGGACCTCATTTGGAATATTTTGTTCAGTGACGGGCACCAGAGTTTGTTTTTTTAAAATAAATTTGTATTGACATCTATTTATCTGTATCACTTATATTTCCTAATGTATCCCTTTACTCCCTTATCCTGCCAGAGAGTTATCCATTATAACAAAGCAAAGAAGAAAGAAGAGAAGAAAAAACAGTTTAGCAAAACTAACCAACACATTAAAAAAAAATCAACATTATCTGTAATGCTCCACACTCATACTGCCCCACCTCTGCAAAGAAGGGAGGAAGACTATGGTCTTCAATCTCTTCAAAGAAACCAGTTTAGTCATTATAATTTCACAACATTCAGTTTCAGCCGAGTTGTCATTGTACTTTTCACTTATATTGTTGTTGTCATTGTATATATTGTTTTCGTGGTTCTGCTTTCTTCACTTTGCATCAGTCCACTAAAGTCTTCCTATGCTTCTCTACATTTATTGTTTCTTATAGTACAGTAATAGTCTATTACATTCACATACCACAACGTGCTTAACCATTCCCCAATTGATAAGCATCTACTCTGTCTCCAGTTCTTTGCTCCTATGGGAAATGTTATTATAAATATTTTTGGTTTTAGGGATCTTTCTTTTTGTCACTGACCTCCTTGGGGAATACACCTAAGAGTGAGATCTTGGGGTTAAAAGTTGTTTCTCAGAACAAGACCAAATTGCTTTCCAGAATGGCTGGACAAATTCACAGCTGCACCAAGAGTCTGTTAATGGAGCCATCTTTCTGCAACTCAGGTGTCACATTTTAAGAAAGGAACTGATAGAATGGAATGTCTGGAAGAGGACAACCAGGAATGATGAAGGCCCTAAGTCCATCTCATAGGAAGATTACATGAAAGAACTGTGCACGCTCAGCCTGAAGAGAAGAGTCAGAGGAGATATGCTAGCCATTTTTATAATCTGAAGAGTTGTCATGTGGAGGAAGGAATATACTTTTCTGTTTGGTTCCAGAGGGTAGAACTAGAAAAGGCCATGTAAGGAAATTTCAGAAGAATTTTCTAACAATGAGAGCCTCACCCCAAAAGTGAAATGGGGGGACTCAAGGAGTGGTTTGTTCTTCTTCCTTGAAAGTTTTTAAGTAGATGCCTGATAAGCTTGTTGAGTGTAATGTAGTGGGAATTTATTTGTGTGTAGGTTGGACTAGATTGCTGAGATCCCTTCCAGTTCTCAGATTCTGTAATTCTGTGTCTACACATTTGGAGAAGAACAAATACACACACACACAACACACAGAGTACCCAGTCTGGGAAACACTGGGCACAACCCTTACCTTGGCAAAATGATTTTTTCTTCTGCTGACAAGAAGGCATAGTCATTGAAAGTGCTAAATTTGATAGGAGGGGGGTATTTGAATGGTTTTGCTCCGAAGTTGAACTCACATTGTTGATAGGACATGAAACTTGCTGCAGCAAAGAAACCTGATCTGCAAATTAAAAATATATGCAAAATTAAAAAACTGGTTGCAAAAGCAAATTTTAAATTTCAAAAACTCAGCAGTGGCCAAAAAGTCCTTTAGTGGACAAAACATGAACTGGCATTTAAAATCCTTGATAATCTTTATAATCTAGCTCCAGCCTCCTTTTCCAGCATTTTCACATTATTTCCTTTAACACATTCCCCATTACAGTTAAACAACATTACCAGCTATTCTCTAATCTTATCCTATCTTCTGCCTCTGCATTTCCATAGACTATTCCCTCATTCCATTCTGGAATGTACTCCCTCACTTCCACTTGCTGAAATCCATCTTTCCCTTGAAGGCTCAACAAAGATGCTCTCCTATTTCATGAAGCCTAACCTGACTGCCCAAAAGAAACTGATCTCTCCACCCTCAAATTTTCCTTGATTGCACTGCATATCTCTTTTTTCCTATGACACCATTCTTATTTGTATACATATTGCAATCTACCAATTCCTTGTATAAGTTCCTTGAGGTGAAGGACTATCATTTTTCATCTTTGTATCCACTGCCTTATCTATAACAGTTTTTCAGTTACTCTCTCTATGTTAGGGAGTGTCACAGATTTTTTTTGTGTGTGTCATAGATTCCTTTGGAAGTTTAGTGAAGCCTATGTATCCCTTTGGGCAGCTAGGTGGCCCCATAGTGCACAGAGCGCAGGGTCTGGAGTCAGGAAGACTCCTCTTCCTGAGTTCAAATCTAGCCTCAGACACTTACTAGCTGTGTGACCCTGGGCAAGTCACTTAACCTTGTTTGCCTCAATTTCCTCATCTGTAAAATGAGCTAGGGAAGGAGATGGAAAGCTACTCCAGTATCTTTGCCAAGAAAACCCCAAATGGGGTCACAAAGAATCAGATACAACTGAAAAAGGATTCAACAACAGCAGGGATCCCTTTTCACAACAATGTTTTAAAATGTATAAAATAAAATACACAGGATTACAAAGGAAATCAATTAGACTGGTACAACTATCAAAGTATTAATAAGACAAGTTCATGGACCATAGGTTAAGAACTCCTGCTCTATCTTCACCAATATTCTTTGTTCACTCTCATTTAATATTCCTCTTACTTACACAGTCATAGTGTGGCTTCTAGTCTTCTGGTCCTTCACCACATTCCCTCTTGGGCCACCCCCCCCCCCGATTCTTTCATAAAAGTTTTCCTAAATTTCTTTGTATCCCTCATACTTGTCTTTTTTTTTTCTTCTTTAACATGTACACTTTTATTTGAATTGGTCTTAAGACAGTGTACGGGTAAAGCTCCTTCCCTCCTCCAAATACTGGCCACCAATCTCATAAAACTCACAGGCAGACTGTAAAGTCTTCATTCACATTTATGTTGGGGACAGGGAGGGAATTTAGGGGGCCATTCATTATGGCTGACAATTAAAAAAAAAGAAACAAGTATTAAGGTGGGAGATAGAAAAAGGTTTTTTTTTTTTTAAAGGATTACATAATTTACATGTAAAGCAATATTAGTACCTTCCTTTCTCCCTCCCTCTCCATCCAGATTTTTGTTATGTAGCTCCTTTGCTCCAGCAGAGGTCAGCCTTCATAGAGGCTTGTAACTCTGTAACAACGCATTATACAATATTTGGAATGATGATTAAAAAAAACCAAATATACAGAGTCCTGAAGATGCACTGTAGAACTTTGGGGATGTTTGCCTCTAACATACTTAGATTGCTCATCACATTCACTGTTACAGTTTTTAAATCCTGAGTCAAGTGCAAAAAAAAAAAAAAAAAAGCCATGCCAATCTCATCTCTTCTTCTTCTTTTTTTTTTTGGGGGGGGGAGCAATTATCATGTCACACCTTTGACAAAAACAAAACAAAACAAAAGAAAACAAAAAACCAAAACCCAAACCATCCCTTTAGAAGCATTTGCTGTGGACAATGAAGGGCCCAGATTCATCATACTCCTGCAGGCTGATCCACATCTGCTGGAAGGTGGAGAGAGACGCCAGGATGGAGCTTCCAATCCAGACAGAGTATTTACTCTCAGGTGGGGCAATGATCTTGATTTTCATTGTGCTGGGAGCTAGGGCGGTAATCTCCTTCTGCATCCTGTCAGCAATGCCTGGGTACATGATGGTAGCACCAGACAATATGGTATTGGCATACAAATTGTTATGGGACAACATGACTGAGATGAAGGTAGCTTTATGGATTCCATACCTAAGAAAGATGGTTGGAAGAGAGCTTCTGGGTACTGGAACTACCTGTTGCCAATGGTGATAACCTGACCATCAAGGAGCTCATAGCTCCTTTCCAGAGAGGAGCCAGATGCAGCAGTGGCCATTTCCTGCTCAAAGTCTAGGGCGACATAACACAGCTTCTCCTTGATGTCATGCACGACTTCCCTCTCAGCTGTGGTAGTGAAACTTGTACCCTCTCTTGGGTCTTCATGAGGTAGTCCATCAGATCACAGTCAGCCAGATCCAGATGGAGGATGGATGGGGAAGGGCATAACCTTCATAGATGGGCACAGTGTGGGTCACACCACTGCCGGAGTCCATCACAATATCAGTGGTACAACCAGAGGCATACAGGGACGGCACAGCCTGGATGGCAATGGACATGGCTGGGGTGTCAAAGGTTTCAAACATAATCTGAGTCATCTTTTCTCTGTTGGCTTTGGGGTTCAGGGGGACTTCTGTAAGCAGCACAGGGTGCTCTTCAGGGGCCACACAGAGCTCACTGTAGAAAGTATGATGCCAGATCTTCTCCACGTCATCCCAGTTGGTGACAATACCATGTTCAGTGGGGTACTTCAGGGTCAGAATACCTCTCTTGCTCTGGGCCCCAACCCCCACATAGCTGAATTTCTGGCCCATGCCCACCATTACACCCTGATGTCTGGGGTGCCAACAATGGAAGGGAAGACAGCCCGAGGGGCATCGACTCCTGCAAAGCCAGCTTTGCACATTCCAGAGCCACTGTCAACAATGAGAGCAGCAATACCATCATCCATGGCGAACTCTGAAGTAGCAAATTGAAACCCTTAAGAGAGAGAGGAGGTGGTACCGCACCTGGAGGCAGGGGGGAGGCAAGTACAAGCTGGGTGCAAGAGCTCACAGCTCTGGGTAAATCCTTAAGAGAGATTTCCCACACTGATTGGTTTCTGGATGAGAGAGAGGTGGTGCTGCACCTGGAAGCTGGGAGGAGGCAAGTGCACACTGGGTGGAAGAGCTCACAGCTCCATACTTGTCAGTCTTAACTGCATTATAGTATACCATTGTATTTTGGTTGCTTCCATTTTTTTTTCTATCTTTGAATAGATAGCTTCTTCATATATGTTTATATTTATTTATTATATATCATATGTATAATTCTGACAATGGGATTATTGGGTCAAAGAGTATGATTATTTTCAGAAAATTTTACTGTGTTTGGCTGGATGGTTTCCTAAAAAAGATTTTACAAGTTTGCAAAGACACCTGCAGTGAACAAATGTACCTGTTGCTCTAAAACCCTATCAGCATTGAGTTTCATTGCTTTTTTTTTCTGCCAATTTGATAGATATTTATAAAAAGAAGCAATTCAGAAAGTCTTTAAGAGCTGTGAACAATGCAACAACCAATCACAATTCTGGAGGGATGAGGATGAAGCAGGTTCCTTCCCTCGTACCCTCACCTGTCCCTGAGAGAGAAGTAATGGATTCAAAGATGCAGAATTTTTTTCATTTTTTAAAATTTTTCATTATTTTTCATTTACAGCCAATGTGAGAATTTGTTTTGCTTGACTATGCATAATACTTGTTACAAGGATTTTGATTTTCTTTCTTCTTTTCAGTAGGGATAGGAAGGGAGAGAAGAGGTGAGGGATAGGGTAGCTAAAAAAAAAAGAAGAAAAGAAAGGAGGGTCATTGAAACATTTTTTTGAACAAACAGGAGAACAGAAGACTAGAAGGAATCCCAGACAAATAGGTCATCTTTGAAAGTTAATTGATGAATCTATTACATAGTTTAAAAGAAAGCAAGCTGTATTTAATAGAGACTTGTAGTTTCATTTACAATCCTTTTTCTATTCTGATATAGATATACAGAAATGCCCATTTTATTTGAAGTTTAAGTTCATAATTTAAACTTTTTTTTTTAAAGGAAAAAACCCAAATCCCAATTTGATGGGTCTGAGGTGGTCTGACAAATTTGTTTAATTTGTATCGCTCTGATTATTTAGTGAGGTTGTAGCTGAACATTTTTTCAAGAGATTATTAATAATCTGTGTTTCTTCTTTTAAAAATTGTCTGTTCATATAAAGGCTGATACCACAAGCAAACTAAGGGAGGAAGGAATAGTTTACCTGTCAGATTTATGGAGAATGGAAGAATTTATGACCAAACAAGAGATAGAGAACATTATGAAATGCAAAATGGATAATTGTGATTATATTAAATTGAAAAGTTTTTGCACAAACAAAGCCAATGCAACCAAGATCAGAAGGGAAGCAGAAAACTGGGAAACAATTTTTACAGCCAGAGTCTTTGATAAAGGTCTCATTTCCAATATATATATCTGGAGAACTAAGTCAAATTTATAAGAATACAAGTCATTCTCCAATTGATAAATGGTCCAAGGATATGAACAGGCAGTTTTCAGGTGAAGAAATTAAAGCTATCTATAGGCATATGAAAAAATGCTCTAAATCACTACTGATTAAAGAAATGCAAATCAAAACAACTCTAAGGTACCACATCACACCTATCAGATTGGCTAACATGACAAAACAGGAAAATGATAAATGTTGGAGAAGATGTGGGAAAACTGGAACACTAATGCACTGCTGGTAGAGTTGTGAACTGATCCAACCATTCTGGAGAGCAATTTGGAACTACGCCCAAAGGGCTATAAAACTGTGCATACCATTTGACCCAGCAATACTATTTCTAGGTCTGTATCCCAAAGAGATCATAAAAAAGAGAAAAGGACCCACATGTACAAAAGTATTTATAGTAGCTCTTTTTGTGGTAGCCAAGAATTAGAAATTGAGGGGATGCCCTTTAATTGGGGAATGGCTGAACAAGTTGTGGTATATGAATGTAATTGAATACTATTGTACTATAAGAAATGTTGAGCAGGCAGACTTCAGAAAAACTTGGAAAGACTTGAATGAACATGATGCTGAGTGAAGTGAGCAGAACCAGGAGAACATTGTACACAGTTAACAGCAACACTGTGGGATGACTAACTTTGATAGACTTAGCTCTTCTCAGCAATGCAAGGATCTAAGTCAACTCCAAAGGTCTCATGATAGAAAATGCTATCCATATCCAGAAAAAGAACTATGACATCTGAATTCAGATTGAAGCATGCTATTTGCTTTTTTTGGGTTTTGTTTTGTTTCTTGTTTTTCATGGTTCCCCCCCATTGGTTCTAATTCCTCTTTACAACATGACTAATGTGAAAATATGTTTAATATGAATATATACGTAGAGCCTATATCAGATTGCATGCTGTCTTGGTGAGGGGAGAGGGGAAGGACAGGGAGAAAATTTAGAACTCAAAATCTTATAGAAGTGAATGCTGAAAACTAAAACTAAATAAATTTAAAAAAATAAAAATTGTCTGTTCATATACTTTGACTATTTATTCACTGTAGCCTGTAGTCCAGACTGACTTTTTAATAGCTCCTTTTACAATTTAGATGTAATATGTGTCTTAAATATTTTTTCCTAATCTATTACTTTCTTTTTAATTTAATCATATTGTCTTGTCATATATTTCTTATTTCCAACTTACGGAAAATTTCAGTCTAAGTATTAATTGAAGTGGCACCAAAGATACTCTGACTTGTCAACAAAGAAACTGTCATGGAAAGAGTCAATACAAATTCAGATTTCCTGGAAGAACGTGGATTTTGTTTTGTTTAGGCCCACAATCCCAAATGGGAACAGATACTTACACAGCAGATGTAAAGACTTGCTTCTCAGCAGGAAGCTGGTTGCCATTTAAGCAGAAGATCATTTGTTTTTCTTGCAAGTCTAGAAGAAATCCTATTGTATCTCCTGGAAGATAAACCAAACATACTAAGATTATAGATTTTAAATTCTAATGTCTTAATGTTTGAGCATATCAGAGCACAAATCAGGTTTCCAGTTGTAGATGGGCTGAAAACTGGCTTTTCAATCTAGAATTCAATTTCCTCTGTAATCAAGCCCTAATTCATCTACCTACACTTTTTTTCCTTTGCCTTCCAACATAGATCTTTTGTTCTTGCCAAGCCAATTGATTTTGCCAACACGAAAGGGACTGTTTGAGATTTAGATCTTCTCTCTTTTTTTAGGCAACTGGAGTTAAGTGACTTGCCCAGGGTCACACAGCTACTAAGTGCCATGTGTTTGGTCTGAGGCCAGATTTGAACTCAGGTCCTCCTGACTTCAGGGCCAGTGCTCATCCACTGTGCCACCTAGCTGACCCTGTTTGAGATTTGGTAGAGCCTGTCTGCCATCTCATGAGCTCCTCATTAGTAAGAAAGAATCTACTTGACTACCTGTGTTTAATGAATCAGTCTATTGATCAGTTCAATTAATTGATCAGGAAGCATTTATGAAGTATCTCCCAAGTCAGGTGCAAGGGACACAAAGGCAATAAATAAATAATCCCTGCTCTGAAGGAGCTTCATGATGTCATTATTATTCTATTATCGATCTGTTATTCCAACAATAGGGGCCTAATTTAAATTCTTTTATTTCCGAATGTGTCATATGCTGGTACATGCCAACATGGGCCCATTAGTTTAGGGCCTGAGAAAAAACAGAATCAGGATGTAGGTAATAAATATTTCTCATAAAAAAAATGAAGTCCTGATTCATTAATGGTCTACTTTTTTCACTAATGGTCTACCTGTTCCTAACTGCTATTGGCTGCTGGGGTACTTGGTAATCATATCAAACATTTCTAAGCTGAAAATTTTTTTGTATCTATCTATTTGCAAGGTTGCTTTATGCTGGGCCAAGAATGTCATTAAGTAAGGAGTCTTTGGCTATTTTAACTTCATGCATCCTGATTTTTAATGGAATCATAATTTCAGTATTCACGATGGCCAAGTTTACATAACTGCTTTTGTTCAAAATATGACTGTAGTGGAAACTAGAATTCAAGCAAAATTCAGGAACAGTTGAAATGTCAGTACAGTTTAATTTTTTTTTCTTGTTTTTTGGTGAGGCAATCAGGATTTAAGTGACTTGCCCAGTGTCACACAGGCAGTAAGTATCAAGTGTCTGAGTCTGGATTTGAACTCAGGTCCTCTTAACTCCTAGGCTAGAGCTCTATCCACCATACCACCCAGCTGCCCCAAGAAATTTTCTTTTTTTTGTTGAGGCAACTGGGGCTAAATGACTTGCCCAGGGTCACACAGCTATTAAGTGTCAAGTGCCTGAGGCCGCATCTGAACTCAGATCTTAGTGACTCCAGGGCCAGTGCTCTATCGAGTGCACCACGGAGCTGCCCCAGTACGGTTTAATTTAATATAATGTTCAACATACCAGGAATTCAAGTGCTAGAGCAAATGCAATTTTATGAGAAGAAAAATCCTTAAAAGCCTAAGATTTACCAGTTCAGATAAAAACAATTTGTTGTTATATGTGAGATCAGAATACCATTACTTCCCCTTTTATTCTTCATGACTTAAAAAAAAACAAAACACCTCAAACCACAATATTAGTGATTCAGTAGTAAAAAACAATGTTAGTCAGGGCCCAAAGTCCAAAGTTAAATGAATACCTTCTTTCCAACAGGGGTGTGAATGTGGTTTACTTCTGGCATTATACCAGATCAGCTGCCGGCAGCCATCATATGCACAAGAATACTCATCGTCTCCAATACCATAGCCTTCCTGTAGAGAAGGCAAAAATAGCAGGACTTCACATGCTTCGTTAAAGTTATTGGGTATTCTTTGAAATCAATATTCATTTCTCTTAAGGAATTAATTAACCAATTTTGGAGTTAACTACATACATGCCCATGACATCTTCTCTTCCTATTACCTACTTATCTTTAAACACTTCATTGTTCTTACAAGAGTATTGACGGGAAAAGAAATGATATTCAATTCAGACAATGACGCTACTCTTTAGGACCATTAGTGGAAAGGTTTTTGTGGAAGAGGTTCAAAAGATATATCAAACCCTGTTGTTACAAATACCACAACAAAAATGTCTATTAAAAACACTATTTCACACCCCATACTACTGGTTTGACTTGACATTGCCTATGATAAAATTCTAGAACAAGAAGAATTTTTTTGGATTTCTCTATGAGATTTTGGAGGAGTGCTGTCTAAAAGAAGGTTCCTTCCACTATTTGTGGCTATCAGTTATCCCCCTTCACTAAATGTGAAGAGGAAGAGGAAGAGGAAGGGGAAGGGGAAGAGGAAGAGGAAGGGAAAGATGAGGAAGGGGAAGAGAAAGAGTAAGAGGAAGGGGGAGGGGAAGGAAAGAGAGTAAACATTTATATAGCACCTAATATGTGTCAGGTACTGTGATTTTTAAAATATTAGCTTGGGACAGTTAGGTGGCGCAGTGGACAGAGCACCAGCCCTGAAGTCAAGAGGACCTGAGTTCAAATCCGGCCTCAGACACATAACACTCACTATCTTTATGATTCTGGGTAAGTCACTTAACCCCAATTGCCTCACACCAAAAAAATTAAAAAAAAAGAATTAAAAAAATATTATCTCATTTGATCTTCAAAACAACTCTCAGGGAGGTGGTATTATTCTTACTTTACAGTTGAGGAAATTGAGACAAACAGAGATTTAAGTGACTTGCCCAGGGTCCTGCAGCTAGTGTCTGAGACCAGATTTGAACTCAGGTCTTCCAGGCTCTATGCCCAGTGCTCTATCCACTGTGCTGCCAGTTGCTTCTCAGGTTTTCTCTGATGACTTATCATAGCATAGTATGAGCCTGGGCTCACTTTACACTAGGGGAACATAAGTTCTCACAGTTCCTACTAAAATGCAAAGGATATGAATACAGGCTGAGGTACAGAGGACCAGCCTAGCTGAATTCAACTAAATGATGAATTTTCTTCTGGCCACAGAAAATGACCACTAGATATTGACTAAATCAGATAGACCCATTTGCTGATCTCTTTGCCGGCTCGACACCTTCTTCCTAGTACTTGAGACAGAAAAGACTCATATCACCCTAGAGTGTGGGAGCCACTGTTAAATGGTACTTCCCTTATACTACGGCTAGCCAACTCCTTCCTTCCTTTCCCCCAAATTTCTGGCACTCTTCAAGCTTGCCATCTTGAGAGCCAAAAAGCCCATTCCCCAGCTACTACTACTTGCTCTCCAATCTTTAGTGACCTAAACTCTACCTCCCTGGGCCCTCCTGTCTTCAGCTCTGCCCTTTGAAACCCCTATTTATCATTAACAAATTCTCCTTCATCTTTGTGTGGGGTAGTGCATAGAGTAGACTTGAAGTCTGGAAGATCAGCAGTCAAATCTTGCCTCTGACACTATGAGACCATGGGCAAATTACTTAACGTGTCGGAACCTCAGTTCATCTGTAAAATGGGCATAATAACACCTACGCTATCATAACTACCTCATAAGATTGTTGTGAAGTTCAAATGAGATAAGATTTTGGTGAGGGATATAGTAGAGGCAAAATCATTAAGACTTGGAAGACTAACTGGATGTAGGAGAGGGGTGAGGAGGAGCGAGGAGTTAAGGGTGATTCCAAGGCAGTGAACCTGGGTGACTGGAAGGTTGGTGGTTCTCTGGACAGAAATAGGGGAGTTAGGAAGTAGAGTGAGTTGGGGGTTGGGAGGAAGATGAGTTCTATTTTTTACATTTCGAGAATGAGATGACTACAAGACATCTGAAAGACATCACTAGGCCCTTTCTCTAGTACTGGAAATTCTTTTTGTCCCCTGACACAACAGAACAGGAGGTAGACTAGATATCTTTCAGACAGGATCTCTGATGTTATCATTCAGCAAACTCTTCCATCAAGTTCACTCCTGTTTATATCAGTTTGTTTATATGTCACCTTGTCCCTGTCACCTACCAGCTCCCAAGCCATTTGGATTATACATGGCCCTTCTCTCCTCTACAACCTTTGTCTTCATATTCAGGGATTTCAATGAGTAAGTGGATGTTCCCTTGAAAACCTGGGATTCTGAGTTCATCAAGTTTTTCATCTCTGATCATTTACATCTTGATTCTCCCTCAGTCACCCAATGGTATGGTCACAGCCTAGATGTGACTACCACCTATAACCAGGAGTGGGATGGAGATTGCTTGGAGAGCTGATTGTTAAATTTTCAGCATGAGCATTTACACCTTAGAAATCCATAATCACTAAAAATCAGGGCTTCGTTTATTGTTTTGTTAATTATCTAGACTTAAGCTGTATTGATAATGGAGATTAAACTTAACAGTATGTGAATACTTTGAGTTCCAATTTTTTTTCTCCCTCCCCCTCTTCCCCAAGATGGCATGCAATTTGATATAGCTTATATACGTACAATCCTATTAGACATATGTTCACATTAGTCATGTTGTGAAGGAAGAAGTCTTTTCAGGTTTTTCTGAACTCCACCTGCTCATCATTTCTTATAGCACAATAGTATTCTATTACATTCATACACCACAACTTGTTCAACCATTCCCCAATTGATGGGCATCCCCTCAATTTCAAATTCTTTGCCACCACAAAAGGAGCTGCTATAAATATTTTTGTACACATGGGTCCTTTTCCCTTTTTTATGTTCTCTTTGGGATACAGACCTACTAGTGGTATTGCCGGATTAAAGAGTATGAAGTTTTATAGCCCTTTGGTGAATACTTTATTTTTCTGGTTGTTAAATATTTACCAGCACACTTTCATTTTACTCTATAAACACTGCTTGAACTCAGCTCCTAACCTAAAAGAACTTGTATTCTACTGACTGGGAAAGGAGGGAAGGGAGACATCTTTTCTTTTCCCTCTCCAATATGTCCTTCAGATAGCTGCCACACTGATATTCTTTCCGCTCCAAATTATTTGCATCTCCCCCAAATTACCCTGTATCTACTTATATGTAGTTTGTATTTACTTGTGCACAGAGCTAACTTTGGGAAACCCTAACACCTGGGGGAATTAGGAAAAACCTCTCAGAGATATTGTTACTTGAGCTGAAACTTGATAGGAACCATAGATTCCACGAAGCAGAGTTGAAGAGGGACATTTCAGGAATGGGGGACAGCCTGTGCTAGGATGCAGAGGCAAGAGGAAACATGTCATATGTAAAGAATAGCAAGTACACCAGATTGCCTGTAATATAGTTACTGTGAGTGGGAATAATGGATAATGAGTTTAGAAAGACAGGCTAGGACCAGATGGTGAAGAGCTTCAAATGCCAAACAGAGTATTCTACATATTATACTAGAAGCAATAGGAGTCACTAAAAGTGTGAGGGAGTGATCATGGTCAGATCCATGCTTTGGGAACATTGATATGGCAGCTATCTTTAAGATGGATTAAAGAGGGGAGTGGCTGGATGCAAGGAGAGCAATTAGAGGGCTATTGGAATTATTGAGGTCATAGGTAATGAGGGCCTGAATGGTTGTATGAATGAAGATTAGTGATTTCTGCCTCCACAGCCTCTCTCAGAAGACTCGACAGCTGAGTAGCTATATCATCACTATGTTGGGGTCAATTAATAGGAGTAGAAGCAAGATTTCAAAGGTTGAGGAGTGGGAAATGAGAAGTAGAAGCAATAAATGCACACAGTTTTTTCCTTTGATGACAGCTGTAAAATAGAAGACAGTGATAGGCTAAGAGTTTGAGGGACAGTAAAGCCAACTGAAGCCAGCACTTCTAGTTGTACTCTTGATTACATCCTCACTTGTTTCCTTCAGGATTTGCCCCTTCTATCATTGTCCTTCTATCTCTCACCTTCAAATTCACTTTATTTATTGGTGTTTTCCTTGATGTCTACATATGTGCTCTGGTCTTCCCCATCCTTGGAAAAAAAATATCTATTTTTGACCCTTATGACCCTTTGACAATCAAGCTATTGTCCCTCCCTCTTCTGCTTTTCCTAGTCATGAAAGTCACCTCTACTCATAGCTTCCATTTCCTCACTTTTCAATTACTTCTCAACTTCTTGGTTTCCAACCTAACCACTCAACTGAATCTGTTGTCTTCAAAGTTATCAACAATCCCTTAACTGTTCAATCTGACACTGCCCCTTCCCACTTCTCAGGATGTGGTACTGCACTGTCCATTTGGTCTGCTAATGAGGCAGCCACAATCAATCTGATACCCCCTCCTCCAGTTTTCATACTCCTTAATCAGAGGTTTCTGACCCGATCATCCATTTCTTTCCTGTGCACTCTCTCCTTCCTTGTTTTTTTTCTGACACTTCTCTTAGCCCCTCCTGTTTTGATCACTCCTTTTTAGTTTCCTTTACCAGATCATCATCCTTTTCCTGGTTTTGAAGCATGGGTTGTCCCCAGTGCTCTGACCTGTGTTCTCTTCTTTTTTAATATCCTCTTCTGGTGATCTCATCCATTCCTATGAGTTCAACAGCTTGTCACACATAACTCCCAAATCTGTATTTCCAGCTCTAATCTCTCTAATGAACTCCAGTTCTGCATCGACAACTGCTTGCTGGACAGCTCTGGAAACCTCATCAGTATCAGAAAATCAAGCTGTCTAAAACAAAGCTCAGTATTTTCTGAGTCCCTCACTATTTTCACTATGATGTTCACTCTCTCTACCTTTTATCACTTTCTGAGCCCATTACCTCTGATCTGGCTTTGCCAACTTTTCGCAAAGTTGATTTTTAGTTAATGAGTACATAATCCTTTACTCGTGAGTTCAAGGAACTATTGGAATA